CCCGGCGAACCACATCATCAGAGATACAAAACGAATGCGTTATGGCGGGTCTGGTAGTTGTATACGTTTCAGACAGGGTTGCCAGATGGAGCCGGAGAGCTCGTGAACCTTTTATATTATCTGTATAAGACGAGAAATTTTCATAGTGATGAATCAAAGGATGAAGGTCTAACCCTTGCATGTCATCATCTCCTTAATTTTTCAAGTGTAAAAATGATTTGAAAAATTAACTTGCCGCTTTAAACCTAAAATCATATTATAATGTCAATTAGACATTGTAGAGAAAAGATACGAATTGACAGACGGTTTTGATGAGAAGTATGTGCCAGGCGAGTCCAAAGGTGAGGGAAATATAATTCGAAGACCAAAATTAAAGTTTGCTGACGGACGTTTACCCGTTTTTCAAAAATGATTTTGGATATTATAGAAACAAGTCACGCCACCGAACTGAACAATAATTAAGACTAAGTATTGGTTTGGTCATTTTTTCAGTCATGGGCATCGTCGATTTTACTTTGGTAGAAGAAAATAAGTCAGTTGTTTTTACTTTTTCTGGATCTGGATTCTCATTTTCCCAACCATGCGAACATTCGACTACACAACAAAAACAAGCGCATATAATCAAAGCAATATTTGATTTGGACCAAAAATTACCATGTTTTGTTATAAATTGTGCTGTCATTCAAAAGAACAATTCCATAATGTAATTTCAATAAGCATTTATTCGAGATGAATGACACACTCGCTCTGTTCAAATTATATTTTTTAAATACAAATTTTTTGTTTGTGCATGACAACTATATCAATCGTTTATATTTATATCAAAATTATTTTTCGCCAACAATGTGATATTTCTGTTCAAAATAATATTTATTTGCTCCAAGTAACATTTATTTCTTCGAAATAAATATATTTTCAACAAATGCTATTGTTTCACCCAAACAAATGTCATTCAAATGAACCGATGATTTCAAACAAAGAATTTGATTTGGTTTTAAGAAATAACAATTGTTTCTTGCAAATAACATTTATTTCTTGCAAACAAATATAAGTCAAACAAATGAGATTGTTTCACGCAAAGAAACGTTTTTCTCTGTGTATAAAAGGATCATTATAAACATGGTTTGGGTTAAAAGTTCTACTAAGGTGTACACGCCCATTCAGAGTTGCCGTCCCAACGTAGATTATAATATAACATACAGAGAAACTTTGTATAATTATATTCAAATTCATAAATTCCAATTCAAGCTTCTGTTATTTTTTAATGCCATCAGCTTCCGCCACTGGTGCTGTAATTTTTTTCATCTCTTGGACCGCACGAGAGGATATTCCTATGATGTTCGAAAAACATCGTGCGTAGCTAGGGAGGTTATAGGTTCTTGAGATTACTTCCGTTGGCAAAGTATCCCGAAGCTTTGCCGTTCTATAGACGACGTTTTTGTGGTCTCACATAATAATTATGAATAATAATAATATGTCTATGTTAAAATTATGCAAAATTTTATATACAATCCGTGCATTTCATTGACCAGTGTATTGAGAAAAACTTCTCAAAATAAGCGAATACTTTCATAAATTGGAATAGGGTAAAGGTGAACTCAAACTAGCGAAATATTGAATTGGAAATAGACATTACTGGCAGTAGAATTCATATGTTTTGCTTATTAACCAATATGGAATGAAATGTGAGAAGGCATCTACCAGCCTAAATAATTACGTAGCAATTCATATCACGCAATGTTTCATCACATATTTACAAATCGGCAAAAATTCATGAACGCTTGAATTAAATAAATATACATAGGTATTACATATTTGATAGGTTACACTTCCGATATGAATTATTTGTTTCTGACAGTTTGATAAAAGTGGTAAAAGTAAGGTGAGTGGTGTTATTCTTTGATTAATAATAGATCGAAACTTCTGTAGCATAGAACATAAATATACTCAGTTCCAAAAAAAGTGACTCACTTGATATTTGACCTATCTTCTTAAAAAAAAAAATAGTGGGCCGATTTTTATTTTTTTTATTTGTTGGTGGGTAATGCATTTGTCTTTAAAAAGAAAATGAAGAGGTGAACATTTTTTTAAAGCCTCCTGGATGGTGGTGGAATAACTCGAACCATGATTTATTCTTAATTTTTGACTCACCCTGTGTGTTAATTGAGTAATGGCATAGAGAGTGCTTACACCCTATACGGAAGAGGCTTCTTTTGCGAGCATTTTGTTTTTATATTCATTGATTTATCTCTAAAATTTTCCGAATTACAGCTTTTTTTGCTGAATCCTTGCAGATTACCAACTTTCTGAATTTATCGAGAAACAATTTTCTAATTTTTATTTGATTTTATTTTTATTAAACACAAAATTATAAATTGGGATGACTGCTTAATACCGTGTATTGCCTCCTCCAGCAACTCTAAGAACTTCTAATCTACGAGGCATACTGGAAATTAAGTTGCTTATCGTTTCCATTGGTATACGATCCCATTCTTCCACTAATGCATCTGCCATTTCTCCCTAATTCATCCTACAAATGTTCTATAGGATTCATATCGGGGCTTCTCGCAGGCCATTGTAATGTGGTAATACCAGTAGCTTCTAAGAAGTTTCGCACTATTGCTGCGGTGTGTGGTCGGGCATTATACTGCATCAATATAAAATTACTGCCCACTAACTCTGCATAAGGTAAGACATACTGCTCTGAAATGTCAATGTAAATTTGGGCATTCATCGACTGCCTCACCGGAAAAACATGAAGGGGTGTCTTTCTATTCATTGAAATCCCTCCCCACACCATAACGGACCCACCATTAAAACTTTCGCATTCTGTTCTGTTTCGCACCAGTTCTTCTCCACACTCTTTTTCTTCCATCCACCATGTTAAGGCAAAACCTTGACTCATCCGTAAACAAGACATTCGACCATTCAGGAATATTCCACTGTCCATAATTTTCAACAAAATTTCTTCTAGCAGCACGATGTTCGGGCAATAATTTGGGACCTTTTGCAGGTCTCCTCTTCTTTCAGACGTCTACATACCGTCTGCTTACTTACTGCAACATCACGAATTTGGCGAAGATCTTGCTGAACATTTACCGCAGTATTTGATCGATTCCGTAAAATCCGCAATCTCAAGAAGCGATCATCTCTTGGAGAAGTTTTTCGGAGGCGACCAGAACCGACCCTCCGAGCGGTGCTTCCTGTTCGTACTTGCGGATTGCTCTACGAGCAGTTGCTTCATGAACTCCCACCGCACGAGCGGCGTAACGTTTACCACGCCTATCGTTTACTAACGCAACTAATCTTGCTACTTGTTCTGGATTTATTTGAGGCATTTTATGTAATTTTAGTCAATAAAACAAGACACTTAATTAATGACACAACGACAAATGGTCAAATATGGAGGCATACAACAAATTAGTTGCTATGGCAACGAAATCTGTTTTTTTAAAGACAATGTGATCGTACCAGAGTACAACCCAATTAATTTTGAGTACTCTGGTCCTTCCATAAATTTGATTTGTGGGATAAACGTAAGGTATCAGCAAAAAAGCTGTAATTCGGAAAATTTTAGAGATAAATCAATGAATAAAGAACAAAATGCTCACAAAAGATGCCTCTCTCGTATAGGGTGTAAGCACCTTGTATACCATCACTCAATTAACACACAGGGTGAGTCAAAAATTAAGAATAAATCATGGTTCGAGTTATTCCACCACCATCAAGGAGGCTTTGAAAAAATTTTCACCTCTTTATTTTTCTTAAGACAAATGCATTACCTACCAACAAATAAAAAAAATAAAAATCGACCTACTATTTTTTGTTTTTTCTTAAGTATATCAAGTGTTTCACTTTTTTTTGAACTGAGTGTAGGTATACAAAGAAATGTTCCTTCATTACCTTCAACATCAAAACCAATCACACAATGCCACCAAGTGTTTTGTGAGTCGAACTAATTCAACAATTATCATTCTTTTTCATAGAATCATTTAATTTTGACTTGTTTTCTTCCTGGAATATTTTTTCGTGATTTGCATCTATCGTCATGTACCTTATAGAAATTTTTGAACGATATTACCTATAACATAATGAAAAGGAATAACTAGTCCATTTTCATCATATTTGAATCATTTTGAAACAATGAAGGAGAACATCGATTCCACATTCTTCTGTTCATTCATCTCATCATATTCTTGAGCAACTGAGGTAATATTCTGAAGAAATATTGTAATAATAATTATAATTCATCAGAATATTTTTATATTATTTTTTTAACATTATGAAATGAATTTTTGTCTTTCATCAATATTGTTCATTTGAAAATGGATTTTTTTAAATTTAAAGTTGGAAATATCGAAACTGAACACGAGTATCATTTTTAGGTAAAAATGATGATATTCTCATTTTTCCTGGTCAAACTGCCGAATATTGCATAGAAAAAGGAGTCCTAGAATGTATGGTGGAAATCTTTCTTCATAATTTCGTATATACAGGGTGGCATTGAAATAAGTGCAAATATTTCAAACAATGAGAAAACTCAACGTGTACTATCGAATGGCAGTAATAAAAAAATTCAGGGATCAAAATAAAATTTGATGCTAGACCCTTTTTTCCACCCAAAGTTTTTCACTGTAGCAAATCTGACGTCACCTCTGTTCAAATTTCCATACGGTAGGCACAATTACGAGGAGTTCAATCATTCAAATTGTTTTAAAGTGGCGTTCTTGACTTTTTTCTCGTATTTTAATCAATTTTTGGGATTAAATTTCTCGTTAATTGGAAGAATTAGAAAAAATCTAATATCATGGAAATATTCCTTAGACTGTATCATAGTATAATATGCTGGATATGTGCACTTATTTCAAAAACACCTCGTATATCCATTTTTTCTTGTTCATAATTTATCTGAGAATATTCCTTTTTAATACAGTAGTATTTTTCCACTCGAGTATATTGGCAATTATCATTATTTCTATTGCAGGACTCAGGGTGGCGAAATGAAACTAGAATATAAGTTCACCCCAGAAGACATAATCGCAGAAGGAAGAGTCACCAAGGACGACATAGAAATCATCAGAACATGGCTATCGAATTTGAAAGACGACTACGTTCCTGACAATGTACAAGACGAGACCATTGTCTTGATTCTCTTGTCCTGCACTAATGATATAGAGTTGACGAAGAAGACCATACAATGTTATTATAAGTTGAAGAAGAATGGACCCGAAATATATGATGACAGGAATTTGAAAAGGCCTGATATTCAAGTCGCACTGAATACGATGTGAGTTCCACTAGCACACTATACATTTACACTATCAAAAGTTTCTTCAGTATTCAGCTAATTTAACCCTTCCGGCCCTGCCGGTGACCATCTCCACTCTCATAAAACTATCAACATTCGAGCTCATGAAATACCTGGAACATTCAGGTATTATCAACGATAGGCAATATGGCTTCCGTCATCAGAGATAAAATGGTGACCTGCTCGCTTACGGCTCACATATTATATGGCAACAATCTATTGAACAATATGGTGAAACCTTAGCCGTGGCACTTGATATCTCCAAGGCATTCGATCGAGTCTGGCACCACAGACTCCTCGCCAAGCTTGCACCTTATGGCTTGCCTCCTCAGCTATGTTATCTGCTAGCTAGTTTTCTCCCGAACTGGTCTCTTCATGTAGTGGTCGACGGAGTTTCATCTCACTCTCTCATCATAAATGCTGATGTTCCGCAAGGATCAATTCTAGCACCAACACTATTTCTACTCCATATCAACGATTTGTTGGAAGCAACTTCATATCCAGTACACAGCTTCGCGGATGATAGTACCCTCCATACCGTCTTCTCTTTCAAGGTTCCAATACCAGCCAGGCAAATCAGAAACAAACGAGGGAGAAATGTTGACAACATAAATATGGACTTGGCAACAATTCTCGAATGGGTATCCAATAGCTTGGTAGATTTCAATGCAAACAATCTCACTGTGCCCAACATAAGCTTGTCAGGAGTAACCATACCTTTGGAGACATCCACTCACTTCTCTGGAACACCGTAGAAAAGTTGGCGATCTGGCTCTATTTTATAGATATTTCTATGGACGATGCTCTTCTAAAATATCAACAATTGTTCCTCCCTTGGTAGTTTCCGCGAGATTAACCCGTCGAGTTGAGGCTTCGCACCCCTTCGTGGTCACTTTGGAGACCTGCAGAACATATCTTTCCGAATACTCGTTCATCCAACGAACAGCGAGGCTCTGGAACACATTGCCAAGGGATGTGTTCCCCAAGGCATATAACCTCCAAAAATTTAAGAACACCAATTTCTACCTTATTTTCCTTGATTCTCACGATGTTCTCTGAACATAACAGGATATCTCTTTTCGTGGGAACCAGAACATAAAAAAAAATATTACAGTTTTTTATCAAAGTTGAAATAATAACTTCCATCCTCTACCATCAATAGATGCCACTTCTGTATAGACTGCCTTACAGTGACCTGCCTTGGGCAAATTATCTGAAGTTTTCATAGAATATCGCTCATTTCACGTATCTGAGAGACGGATTCTCAGTGGTAGTAAGGAGAGGTCACCGAACAGATATTCATACGGCCAGGACTATGTTGAAATAAGTGGTGGATCTGTTTATTTCCATGAATTTTACGTCCTCTTGAAAAAAAAATGCCCTTCTTTTGAGAGCAGCGTCCTGTATATTTGATTCCTTTCCTCATATTAGTTGGAACAATACCAGTTGCTGAGTTTCTGTGCCTGTTTTTCAGACACATGTCGAGCATCCCTGTGCGAACCGAGCAAAATGACGTTGTGCATTTCTTCAAGGTCCATGACACAAACTACAATAATTTTGACTTGGTTCCTATAATGAAAATATCCTACATGCTTATGGACATATCGCAAGAAAAAAACCCACCCAATGGCATTATAGTTGTTATCGACATGAAAGGTGTAAGTATTTGTTTTGAACAATGTAACGTAACATCATCTCATCTACCAACTCAAATGAATGGTGGGGGAAAGTAAGTTACGCCCGAAATACATGAAACATTTATTACACGACCGCTTTATACATTTTATGCACTAGCGGGCGGTAAAGTGCACGTTATCGCCCGGGGCCCTAAAGTGCACTTTACTGATGCCCGCTGTTCTCAAGTCCCTTATTTCCTTTGGTTCTCACGATGTTCCCTGAACATTACAGGATATCCCTTTTCGTGAGAACCAGAACATAAAAAAAATCCACACATTCATTTGTGGAATACCTATATTTGATCTCTCAGCTGATTCTATCGTTCTATCTTCGCTATAACTTCCTAATTTGGATAGTTACTTTCTGGCTGTCTGAAGTTCTCAGTCAAAAGATGACAATTTCAGTTTATTTTTCTGGTGTATTTCTAGACAGCAATAACCATCAGATTGATTGACAACGTCAAATTTAGGTAGCTATATATATACATATTGTTACATCTCAAGGAATAAATCTCTGTCAGTGAACAAAGAGTTTCACTCTTACTATCATTTAGATATTCGTACGGTAATTTTAATATGTAGATTAAACACATCTCTTGAAAACCGAATTTATGAGTAACATATGAATTGTAGTTTGTTGAAATCGACTCGGGAAATAAACCACTAGTGCATAAAATATTGTATGTATCACGTGCGTTAAATGCGTTCATAGCCTTCGGCGTGTAATGGCCCTCGGCTAACGCCATCGGGCCATTATTCACGCTGCAGGCCATAAACGCTAAATTCACGCCCTTGATACATAGATAACTATTATTTACTGTCGATATGGGATTCATCAATGACTCTCAATTCATTTGACCAAATTATGTATGCCACTGGCGAAGAAAGATCGAACGGTAGTCTACTATAAATATCTGGGAAAACAGTGAAATTACTTTCCCGCCCGATCACCTATTTTACCGCCCGCCGGACTACTTTACCGCCCGCTGTACCCCTTTACCGCCCTAGGGCGCCAAAATACATTTTTACGCCTGCGAATCCTGGTGATAAAGTGCTACTTTTCGCCCGATCGTTCATGAAATATATTGAAACCATGTCGTTGATGTTTATCACAAAGAAATAACCTGTATAATATACTATTTCTGAATAGCCTATAAGTCAGATTAGAAATGATTTCCAGTTAGGTTTGATGCACATGACCAAAATGAAAATCGGAGCAATCAAAAAGTATCTGACGTTCCTGCAAGAAGGGTTTCCCATGAAAATGAAAGAGATTCACATACTCAACACAGTTCACTTCATCGACAGGCTGATGTCACTCATCAAAGTTTTCATGAAGAGCGAGTTGATGAGCATGGTAAGTTTTTGTTCGTATTATACAGGATGTATCTAGATAACACCAACAAAATTTAAGGGGTTATTCCTTGTGATATTTTAGGAAACATGTGTCCTAACTTGCTTCGTTTTCGAGATACAGAGTATTAATATTTTTATTAAATGTTCTTTTTTTATTCAATACTCAATTGTCTTTTCATCAATTTCAATAAAACGTTGTGGTTTCGTTAATAGTAATATGGAGCTTCTTCTGGTGCAATTGAATTCTAAATAATATTTCTAGTGGCGTCACAGTGGGTATATTAATCGATATTTATGGTGAATGTCATCGTACGCCACCGGTTTTTTTGAGTTTAATATTCTTATTAGATTGAACTATTGAAATAACAACTTTTTTATTCCTTGTGTGATTTTTGTATTCAGCTTAGTTTTTGAGGAAATAATAAAAATTCGATTCGACTCCAAATTTTATGTAGGTGTTTTCAAGACTTCCATTCCAATAACCCCAATTCCTATCGCTCTGAAATTTTGGGGCTTTCTCAGTCTTCACCATCGAAGCTTATACGGGGGTAAGAAATAAAAACAATTAATACTTCCAAATTCAACATTCTGTATCTCAAAAACGGAGCAAGCTAGTTGGGACACATGGTTATATGAACTTTATTTGCTAGAATATCACGAGAATCACCTCTTGAATTTTTTCGGCATTATTTAGATAATAGATATCAAATATTCATTCATTCATATTCCGAGTATACAGGATGTTTCTTAAGTACGTGTAGAAAATTCAGGAGCATGTTGTTGGCGTCAAAATAAGAAGATAAGTTCATATAAATATATGTCCAAAAATTCTTCGTTTCTAAGATACAGAGTGTCAAAGTTGAATTCTTATTTTTGATTTTTGTTTTTCTGCTTTCATCCAATACTCTTCTCCTACATTCAACTCTGGAATATCGGCAAAAGATGATCCTTATACCTGCCGAATCACCAGACATTCATGAACCTTTTTCAGTGTGTTATGGAGTCTGGATCCTTTAAAAAAGATCCAGTGATAGGCAGACCGCGTTGACTACTAGGACTCTAGAAATTGAAGAATCTGTTCTTCAGGCGATCGAAGAAGATCCACAAGCACGAGAAAAATTGTGCAAAATCGAACGAGCCCCATCGAAATAATTCACCTCCATTAAGCTAGCAGAACCACTTTGAATTTTTCAATTTTTTCTTCAGCCATAATTTTAGGCTAATTTAAGGCTAATTTATTACCCTATTGCCGAATTTATTGCTCTTCGATTTAAGTAAAAAAACGTGGGTTCTGCTAGCTTAACGTTAAGCTAGCAGAACCACTTCGTAAATAAAAGTTCAATCACAAAACTAATTATGCCATAATTTAAGGCTAATTTTAGGCTCCAATCCTAGCCTATTGCCAATTTTTTCGCACACTGTTTTTTTAAAACAATCATGGGTTTTGCTAGCTTAACCGTTAAGCTAGCAGAACCAAATCTCAAATAGAAGGAATATAAGAATATTGAGTGCACCATAATTTAAGGCTAATTTTAGGCTCTTCGTTGAACCTATTATCAATTTTTTTGAAAATTATTTTCTGCAAAAAATTTCCCAAATCCAACATGAACATGACAAACCAGTAGCAAACCAAAAAAAAACTTCAATCACAAACCTGATTTTGCCATAATTTCAGACTAATTTAAGGCTCTGATCCTAGCCTATTGCCAATTTTTTCGCACACTGATTTAAAAAAAAAATCATGGGTTTCGCTAGCTTGACCATTAAGCTAACATGTGAACATGACAAACCAATAGCAAACCAAACAAAGTTCAATCACAAAACTAATCATGCCATAATTTAGGGCTAATTTTAGGCTCGAATCCTAGCCTATTGCCAATTTTTTCGCACATTGTTTTTTTAAAACAATCATGGGTTTTGCTAGCTTAACCGTTGATTGATTGATTTGATTGATTAATGGCAGAATGATCAGTCAGGGTTTGAAGCCCAAAACACTGCAGCCTTTGGGCCTATTGTATTCCTGATCATGCTGTTGACTCAGGTGAACAGGTTCGCTACCTTGATGAGGTTTAGCAGCCTCTTCACCAGATCATTCTTTGAAAATGCCTCTTGAGAGTTTACTGCTCCCAGAAGGTTGTATCTCCAACGCGCTAGTGCTTCGCACTCCAGTATTACATGGGTGGCAGTTTCCTCCTCCTCATTGCATAGTCTGCATATGGGTTCGTCTGTATAGATGCCCATTTGATGCATATGTTTCCTCAAGGGGCAGTGACCGGTTATTAGTCCCGTCACTTGTTTGATCTGACTTCTGTTTAGGCTCAGAATGTCGTTAGTCACTGTTTTGGACAGTGTTCCAACCATCAGTTTACTGTGTCTTTGTCCTGGGACATTGTTCCAGTATGCCTGATGTCTTTCTTGCATCCACCTTGCCAGCCAGCCGCGTATTGAGGTTTTGGGGATACCGAACACAGGTTCCGGCCCCATAAACAACGTCGCAGACCCCTGCCGGGCAAGAGCGTCAGCTGCTTCATTGCCTTCAATTCCCTTATGCCCTGGCACCCATTGAAGAGTTACCTTGTTGTGGTTAGCCAGGGTTAGCAGGCTTTGAAGGCAATCCCAGACCAATTTTGATCTGATTTTATTGCATGTTAGAGATTGAATGGCCCGCCTGACTATCTGAGCATATGAGGATTTGTTTACCTCTGTATCCTCTTACTATATTCTCTCTCAGGGCATGCCTCAATAGCATGCACCTCTGCCTGGAATACTGAAGCATACCTCCCCAAGGAAGCACACATCCTGGTTCTGGGTCTATCTCCATATATTCCGGCTCCCGTGCCCTCATCAGTCTTAGAACCGTCAGTGTACCATACTAACGTGCCTTCCCGACAGTTAGTCAAGACCCTTTCATCCCAGTAGAGCTGAGTGTTGAAGGGTCTGTAATAGTTATTTCTAGGCAGCATTTTGTCCCTTCCCATATCCATTAGTGGGCTTGAAACTTGGGCTGATTATTTTTGTATGTCCCAGGGAGTCACCCCGAGCATACCAGTTGCCGGTACACTCCAGTCTGTATGCCCCCATCCTCGCTTCCGCCCTGATGAAGATTTCAAGAGGTGGAATATTGAGTATGGTTTCCATAGCAGCGGTAGGAGTGCTGCGCATAGCACCTGTGATGCAGAGACAAGCTAATCTCTGGAGTTTTGAAAGCTCCATTATAGCTGATCTCTGTTCAGTCTTAGGCCACCAGACAAGCGATCCATACACAATCATTGGTCTCACCACAGCAGTATACAGCCAATGTACCATGCGTGGTTTCAGTCCCCATGTGTTACCAATCGCTCTCCGAGAAGCCATTAGTGCCATTTTGCCTTTGCTGACAGTTTTTCGCAGTTGAGTATTCCAGGTTAGCCCTAGGCATCTAGGGTTACTCCCAGATACTTAACCTCCTGTGTCATACTTAGCTGTGTGTCAAAAAGTCTGGGAACTTTTAGTTTGTCCAGTTTCTTCTTTTTCGTGAAGGCCACAAGTGCAGTTTTACTAGGATTGACCCTGAGGTCTGCCTTTCTGCACCAGCCCTCTACTATCTTCAGGGCTCTCTGCAATCAAGTCTGAAATAATTTCAGGATGCTGCCCCTCTACTAGAATGACCAACATCATCTGCATACCCCTGTGAGTAAATTCCTACATTGTTTAGTTTTTTCAGGAGTTCGTCAATAACCAGATCCCACAGCAGGGGAGAAAGAACTCCTCCCTGTGGGCAACCCCTAGAAATCGTCACCTCCATGGTTTCACCAAGCAATGTGGATTCCGCTGTTCTGTTGTGTAGCATGTTTTTTATCCACCGACATGTGGTGTCTTCCACGCCACGCTCAACAACCGCTGCTACCATGGATATGAAGGGTTGTGTGGTCGAATGCCCCTTCAATATCCAGGAAAGCCGCAAGAGCTATGCTCTTGTTGCTTATTGCGGCCTCAAGTTTCCCCACCAGTTGATGAAGTGCCGTTTCACAGGATTTTCCCGATTGATATGCATGCTGGTTTTTATGTAGTGGCCTTTCAATGAGAAAGTTTTCCTGATATGCATTTCAATTAACTTCTCCATCACCTTCAACATGAATGATGATAGTGTTATCGGCCTGAACGCCTTAGCCTTAGCTTAACCGTTAAGCTAGCAGAACCAAATCTCAAATAGAAGGAATATAAGAATATTGAGTGCACCATAATTTAAGGCTAATTTTAGGCTCTTCGTTGAACCTATTATCGATTTTTTGGAAAATCATTTTCTGTAAAAAATTTACCAAATCCAACATGAACATGACAAACCAATAGCAAACCAAAAAAACTTCAATCACAAACCTAATTATGCCATAATTTCAGGCTAATTTAAGGCTTTGATCTAGCCTATTGCCAATTTTTTCGCACATTGTTTTTTTAAAACAATCATGGGTTTTGCTAGCTTAACCGTTAAGCTAGCAGAACCAAATCTCAAATAGAAGGAATGTAAGAATATTGAGTGCACCATAATTTAAGGCTAATTTTAGGCTCTTCGTTGAACCTATTATCGATTTTTTGGAAAATCATTTTCTGCAAAAAATTTACCAAATCCAACATGAACATGACAAACCAATAGCAAACCAAAAAAACTTCAATCACAAACCTAATTATGCCATAATTTCGGGCTAATTTAAGGCTCTGATCCTAGCCTATTGCCAATTTTTTCGCACACTGATTTAAAAAAAAATCATGGGTTTCGCTAGCTTAACCAATAAGCTAACATGTGAACATGACAAACCAATAGCAAACCAAACAAAGTTCAATCACAAAACTAATCATGCCATAATTTAGGGCTAATTTCAGGCTCTAATCCTAGCCTATTGCCAATTTTTTCGCACATTGCTTTTTTAAAACAATCATGGGTTTTGCTAGCTTAACCGTTAAGCTAGCAGAACCAAATCTCAAATAGAAGGAATATAAGAATATTGAGTGCACCATAATTTAAGG